TGGACAGGTTGGGTGGAAAGAAGAGTATGGAATGGGCGAGCAGCACGGTGGCGTACGAGGACGATACGAAGGGGGATTTATCTTGCATAAACGGGACGTTCGTGCCGGCACCCCTCGCCCGGCATGCGCTGATCAAATATGTAAAGTAAGTGGCTTTTAGCATGAATAATTCAACTCATCTCGATCAGGTTGACCAGGTTTCCCTCCCCCGATGCGATTTCCCTTATGACGATAGGATCTTCCCCCGCGTTTGGGAAGTGGCGCATTATATCACCTATCGTGGAATGGTAATTAATGCCATTCTTTTTATGAATCGAGCGATTATTTACGTATCGTTGGCGAATAGTTTGTCGATCGAATTGAAGCGAACGTTTCTTGATCGATAAATCAATAATATTAATGTTATAGTTGATGGTGATTTTTTTTTTTCATCCATGATTCTTTGATGAATCATTAAGATCAGTGAGGGTTAATTTTCTTTAATAGTAGATTATATTTCATTTGTTCAGCATAATAATTATTCATATTATTTATATCTTATTGATCAATTAGATTTTTTGATAATATCTGGTGATATTTTGGTCATTGGATATTCACATTTTGTGAAAATATATAGTTAAATTAAAAATGTATGTACATATGTATTAGTATTCTTTCAAGAAATTGAAATAGATCTATGCGTTTGAAAATGTACAATAATATGTAACAAAATTGACAAAATTATTCAGTTAATGTATGTGCATACATTATTACATTAACTGCATAAAATTAATGAGATTGAATCGATTTGAAAATGAAAGTTAATTATTTGAATTGGTTTACATTAAATCCTGTGTGAGCTGGTTAACCAGATAATAACTTTACGTTGGATCGTTTGATTTTAAGTAATATATAATAATAATAATTATTGATATAATAATAGAGATTTCACATTATTATTAAATCTAACATTATAATATTATTATATTAATAAAAATATTTTTACGCGGAAAGTATAAAGGAAACGATATTCCGTACACATTTAATTTTCTATGTAATTACTTTCAGTAATTATTTTCAATCCTATTAAAGTACAAGGAGAAACGTAATTCACAAAACGTTCCCTTCATTCCAAGAATTTCGTTCAATATCTTTAACGAAGTATGTGTTTTCCCTTCTCAAAGGACGTAAGTTGAAAAGTCTATAATTGCAGTTCTTGATGCTCGTTCCATTCAAAACGACTTTTTTCAGATTTCTTTTAAAGCTTTCTCTCTTTCTCTCTCCTTCCCTCCCTCCCTCCCTTCCTCTCT